AAATCCCTCACCCACGTCTGCAGCTGCCGCTCCCCCGCACTCTGCCCGCTCAGACCTCTGTGCCCCGTCAGAGCCAGCTCCCACAGCTCCTTCGCTCGCGGGCACGCGGCTGGTCATGCGGGGTTCCTTGCAGAGGTGGGGTGTAGCAGGGCCTCACCCCACAGGGCGGCAGGATTGGTGGCCGGGGGCGGCTGGATGGGAGAGGAGAGACGCCATCTGAAGGCCGTCTCTCACTCTGCCTGCCTCAGGCCCTTGGTGGTGCCCGCAGGGTTCTAGCGGCCCCCACTTCTCTGTAGGGTTGGACTGTTACCACTCGTGGTGACCTTTGCACCCTGGGCTCCAGAAACAGTGCCCGGGCCAGAGGGCAGGGGCAGACCCAGACCCTGGGGCAAGAACAGAACTGGGGGCAGGCAGCCCCCTTCTGCTGTGCACAGGGCCAGCCATCTCCCCACCTGCGGGACAGCGTGAGGACGCCCAGGGTCCAGGCTGGGAGGGAAGGCAGGTGGGAGGGCCCCGGCAGATGGGGGGCCGGTGGGCAGCCTTGCTCCGCTTGGACCTGTTTACACCCTTCTTGCATTTTGTTCATGGAAAGGCTCCGTCCGAGGCCAGCAAACAGAACAGCACTGACTGCTCACGCCCGGGCCCAGGGGTGGCTCCATGGTTTGCAAAATGAAAATGACGGGCCCCTTATTCGGAATTCAAGACAGCATCGGGCCACCCCCGGCCTGCTGCCTGAGGGGTCAGACCCCCCATGACTGACTTCACAAACTGAATCCTGGACGAGAAGCTTGAAAAACACACTGGACCATGTGTGTGCGGCCCCAAATCCCGACGGAGGGGGCGTGGCGAAGGGACTGCAGTGCGGCCGTGCCCCTGGGGGCTGCTTTCTCCCTGTCCCTTTGTCTCTCCGTTCCTCTCTGGTGAGCACACGCACCCTCTGGCTTATTAAAAAAAAGCACTCCAGACAGCTGCAGTGACGCAAAGGCAGGCCCTTCGAAGCACCGACCGCATGCCTGTGCGGCTCACAGGCCCATGAGGCTCACCGGCCTGGGTTACTGGAGGGGGCCCAGCTGCCCAGGGACGAGAGAGTCACAGTGGGTCACGTCAGAGTGGAACCTGGAACCCAGGCCCTGGCCCACCGACACAGGGCTGTGTCCACTACAGAGTTCGCGCCACTTGGAGAGGCGGCCTCTGGGCCTGGTCCCACCGTGTGGGCCTGGTCGGCGCAGTCACTCCTGCTATCAGGGAGGACAAAGGGTCTGTGACCCGGAACACAACCCCTGCACCCAAGAAGGCCAGAGTGGGAGGAGAGATGGCGTCTGCCTTGAGGGAACCCTGGACTGGATGAGGGAGACACACCCCATCCCCAGGGAGCTTCGAGTCCAGGGTTCTGAGCCCACGGTTGGTTGTTTCCCCCAAGGGCCCGTTATGGGGCTCTGGAAGCCGGCCAATGCCTCCCCCTGCACTGGCCCACCTGCGGCAGAGCAGAGACCACACCCTCACCGTCTCCCTGGCCGCCCCCGCTGGGGGAGCCGCCCCCGCTGGGGGAGCCGCTCTGTGCCCCTGGGAGAGAGCAGGTTGTGTGTGAGCACCGGGGCTGGTCTCTGCGTCCCGGAGGACGTGTGCTCGCTGGGGACTGGCTCTCACTGCCCCCACCCCCCGCCTGAGACGGCGTCCGACCACGGGGTCCAGACCGGGAAATGAAGCTGCCTCCCCAACCTCCCGGCTCCCTCCCTGTGGAACCCTGCTCGATGGGGCACCCCGGCCTGGAGGCAGGGCTCGGAGGGGCATCCGCGGCTCGGCTTGGGAGCACCATGGCCTCTGGCCACGTCGCCCACCCCCCTGCCTCCTCTCAGCTTCAGTCCAGTGTCCGCCCCCACCTGTACTTGGGGTGACTCACAATGTGGGCGAGGTCTGCGCTGTCATCCCATTGTCGCGGTGGAAAAACTGAGGCCTGGCGAGGGCTGGGTCTTCCCTCTTTCACCCTAGAGTTTCTCCAGCCCTTTTCTCATAGGAGAAAACCCAGAGAGGGGTGGCTGGAAATGAAGGACTTCAAACCCAGGGTCACAAGGCACTTATGGAGAGGCGTGCAGGAGATAGGGAGGAATATGACATAGGAAGACCTGGCTCCCAGCCTCGGGGGGACTACCAGGTAGGCCAGGGCCCCTTTGACCTCAAGAGTCAAGTTCAGACCTGTGTCCTGCTCTGCTGGGCTGGGAAGTGAAAGATGACATGTAGGGCCTAAGAGAGCTGGGAGTCAGGGAGGGCTTCCTGGAGGAGGTGGCATGTCAACCACATCCTAGGGGAGGAAGCCAGGTCCAGCAGATTTGGAGGGCCGAGCATTTCCTGCTTTCCCCAAGCTGGACCTAGAGACCAGCCTGGGTCTCCCTGACCCCACTCTGACAGGGAGGGCCGAGAGGGGCAGTTGAGGCCTGGACAGCTTGAGGGAGGGAGGAGGCAGGCAGAGCAACCCCAGGCTGGGCGTGGGAAATGTTGGGCCCTGCCCTGAAGGCCCCACTATTGAAGAATGGATTACCCGACACCCAGATTAATGGGCTTTCATTTTGCTAAACATCTGTCACCCTTAGTGCTGGCGAGCGAGCATGAAATGAGCTTGGCTGTGCCGCCACTGCCGCGGTGCGCAGGGTGCCGGTGCCCAGCCCACGCCTGCCCTGCACAGGGGGAGTGGGGGCCAGCCCTGAACTGAGGTGCGAGGTGCGTCTGGCAGGGGCCGGCCCTGGGAGCTTCTCCAAGGCCCCAGTAGGAGCTCTGGCACCCTGGCCCCTGCAGGGGTTCCTGAGAAGGATCCCGTGGCCCTGAGAGCCGGGTCTGGCACTTCTCCAAGCAGCATGTAGGGGAAACCCTTCAGGACACTCAGCCCCCAGCCCCTGGCCCCCACATCCTCGCCACAGCCCCAGGAGGTAAAGGCCGCCTGTCACAGTGGGAGGAAGCTGAGGCAGGTGGAAGGACTTGCCCAAGATCACACGGCTGGACGCCCAGGAGCCAAGATTTGGGCCAGAATTCGGGCTTGGAGTCCCAGCTTCACACCAGGACTCCTAGGGCCTGAAGCCAGTGGGGCCGGGGCGGGGTCCCCTGGTCTGTCTGTAGGTGTGTCGGGGTGGGCGCGGCACAGAGTCAGCTCCTGCGAGGCCCCGCTCTGACGCCGCCCGCCTGCCCCCAGCTGTACATCCAGACCACGACGCTGACGGTCTCGGTGAGTCTGAGCGCCTCGGTGTCCCTGGGAATGCTCTACATGCCCAAGGTCTACATCATCCTCTTCCACCCGGAGCAGAACGTGCCCAAGCGCAAGCGCAGCCTCAAAGCCGTCGTCACCGCCGCCACCATGTCCAACAAGTTCACGCAGAAGGGCAGCTTCCGGCCCAACGGCGAGGCCAAGTCCGAGCTCTGCGAGAACCTCGAGGCCCCCGGTAAGTACTCCCCGCCTCCCCGCCGTCCCGTCTCCGTCCCTGTCCCTGTCCTGTCTGGGTCCCCAGGCTCGGTGGAAAAGCGTGGTGAGCTCCTGGCCGGCCACGCCCCCTCCCTAGCTCCGCCCTGGGGGTGGGGGACGCTGGAGGCTGGGAGAACGCGGAGGCCACTGGGGAGCAGAAAGCCTCCCCTCCAGCCCTCAGGACCTGGGCGAGAGCCGTCCTGCCCCGCCCCTAGACAGATGGTGGTTTCCCAGCCACGCCCCCCACTGCAGTGCCTCCTGGGGGCATCTGGCCCTGCAGAGTGAGGCGAGACCCCGGAACTGCTCTGTCCTGGGCTCGCACACTGGCCTGCGTCCTCCTTGGGAAGCGAGCTGTCTCAGAGGGCTTGCTCCCTGGCAGCCTGGAGCTGTAGCAGTGAGCTTGGCCGGCCCTAGCAGGGCCCCGGGAGCTGGGGGCAGAGGACGGGCAGAGGACACGGAACAGGTGAGGGTGGGTGCCCAGGACCAGGGGCGGAGGGACTGAGGATGCTGCAGTTCTCGGCAGCAGTGCATCCCCAGGGCGTGGTTGGAGGGGCCTGGGCAGTAGAGAGTCATGCTTTGGGGAGAGGTGGGGGAAAGGAAGCAGGGATCCTGGCATCTGAGGGGCAGGCCCAAAGTGTGGGTCTGGGCAGGACAGGCCCCCAGGGCTGGAGAAAGAACTCCAGGAGAGATCAGCACCTCCCTCCTCCTCTGGAGCCAGCCCTCAGTGTGGGCGGAGCCTTGAACCCTGACTGTGTGCCAGGCCTACCCCACCTTCTCAAGGCAGCCTCGAAAGGCAGGCTTTTACAGAACCGGTCCCTGGTACAGATGGGGACAGACTCAGAGAGGCGAGGTCCCCACAGGCCCAGAGCATCAGGTGGCATAGGCGGGGCCGACTTGGGCATGCTGTCCCCTCTGCCTGCTATCTCCCTCCTTAGGGGGACCCTGCCCCAGGTGAGCCGAGGGGTGTCCAGCTGTGGAGAGGGCCTCTGTGGGCCTCATTCCATCTGCTTTGGGGTGGGGACGGACCGAGGGGTCTCTGCGGCCACCCTAGGCCTGCTGCAGGCCTCAGCCCCCTCCTTGGGTACCCTGGAAGTGACCCAGTGGTTTAAGTGGCAGCTCTTCCTGCTGCCTCCCCTCCTTGAAAACCTTGAGGGGCTTCCATTGCTGGGGAGGTTGGAGAAGAGCCTCTCCCGGGAGAGTTGAGAACCCGGCGGCTCCCTCTGCTGCTTCCCTCTGCTGGGAAAGGCCAGATCTGAGCATTTTCGCTACCCCAGGAGGGAACAGGCTGGGCTGCAGGAAGGAGCACAGCGCGGCCCTGGAGAGGCCTGTTTGTCTTCCACCAAGAGACCCGGGAGGCGGGAGACCTCCCCTCCCCGGGGCGCTGGGGCTGGGCGGCGCCTCCACAGGTCCCCACTTGGACTCTGGGTAAAGCCTCTTCCCTCCCGTCCACAACACCGTCCCCATGTGTCGTGGGAATAGTCACTGACAGGGAGGCCAGTCCCTTCCTACGTCCACAGGCCTCTTCACTCCCAGGGTCCTCTGCCTGCAGCGTGGTCTTCATAGCGGTCCTCTAAGGCCCAGGGAGAAGGGGCTTTGGTGCTCCACGGAGGCCCAGGGAGGGCGACTGGCTCTCCTGGGCTCACACGGCACGGTGGTGGCTAGCTGGCCCCATCCCGTGTCATTCCCCGGCCTCTGCCCTCATGTGGCCTCCCTGCCTCCGTGCCCAGCGGCAAACCCGGACACTACACAAGCGAAGGGAGGGCCTCTTGACCGACAGCCTTGATGACTGTGAGCCTCCTTGGATTCTCCAGGCCTGCTTATCCTCCCAGAATGCCAGCCTCCCCAGCCTCCCCAGTCTCCCCAGCCTCCAGCCCCCAGCCCCAGCCCCGGCTCCGTTCAGGAGCACCTGGCCCTCCACCCTGAGATGGGAGGGGCCAAAGGTCCTTGCAGGACTCCCACCTCTAGCTGCCTTCCAGAAAGCCCGGGGAGAACCCCGGTAGATCTGTCAGCCCAGAGGGGACCCTCCAGTTTGCGCCTCCTGCCCTCCCTGTGTCCCCTTCCTTCAAGGCCCGCTCTCCATTGGGTGCGGGAGCAGGTCTGTCATTAACCCCCTCACAGTGACACTAGTGGTGCCGACAGGCCAGAGGGGACCACGGAGGGCAGGCACCTTCACAGAGAGCTGTAATGACACTACGCAGATATTGTCCCCTCTGCCTCCGCCCTGGCTGGTCCCCAGGGATGAGACAAGGAGGGGTGAGGAGGCATGGTGAGGGGAGACCCAGCATTCCCAGCCCTGCCCTGTGAGGACGAGGGCTCCCCACCCCTGCGGTGACGACCAGAGGTCAGCACCTTTGCTCCCACTGTCTCTCAGCTCGGTGACAACAGGGGCCGTGGAGGAGCTGAGTGATTAATTCTGGGGACAGCTGGGCCGAGAGGGTGTGAGCAGGAGGAGTGGGGAGGTGTCACTCCTGTGGAGCAGGGATATTTTTCACTCTGTCACTGGCAGGCCCCGTATCTTTAAACAAACAATAGAATAAATAATTCAGGGTCCCGATTGCAGGCAGATTGGGCGCAGAGACACGGGCGACAAATGGGGGCTGTCAGCCTGCACCTAGCATTGGGCTCCCGGCTAATTGTTACCTGAGCTGGCTCTGATGGAACCGTGAGTGAGTGCCTGCCTTCACCCCTTCCCCTCATGCTGAGCGTGGCCCTGGAGTGCCGTGTCCCGCTGCCGTCCTCAGCACTGTGGCTGAGCCAGCCTGGCATTTGCAGAGTTTAGTATTTCCCCTCCCCTGGGCTGAGAGCCAGCGTGCACCCTGTTTACAGATGAGGGCAGGCCTGGACCCCACATCTCCTGACGCCTGGCTGGGACGCTTCTTTTTTGTTTTTTGGAGAGGTTTTTTTGCTATAGGGCATGTGCGCTCGCCAGACAGAGAGACAGAAAGTGAGAAATCACCCCCCAGGGGATGGCCACGCCGCAATCCCTTCTCCTCCATTCTCCTCTCAGGATCTTGGGCATGCATGCACACGTGCCCGGCGTGAGTTTTAAGCCACTGGGTCCAGGATGCGAACCTCAGTAGACTACATGGGAGTCCAGGGACATAGCCATTATGCTAGCTGCTGGCCCCTGGAGCGCTTCTTTTGAGCCTCTCCATTAGCTTGTGAGGGCCCTCGGGTAGGCTCCATCCCCCCCTTTGCCAGATGGTGAAGCTGAGGCTTGCTGAAGGGCTCTAAGGTTCTGGGCCTGTGGCTGAAGGCTGGGACAGAGAACTGGATTTTGAGAAGATTCCGCTTTGGCCTTAGAGGACAGGGGCCGGGCTGCGCCTGCTGCTGTCCCCTCCGCCACTCCCAAGGACTTGCGTCCCTGTGCACTGTCAGTGGGGGTCTGACTGCTGGGGCTGCTGCGGTTTTCTCTCACCTCTGAGCTAGAAGCTGCTGACGGGTTTACAGGTTTGGAAACTCCATTCTGTCAGTTCACCCAGAGGGCGATGGGGCCCTGGGGACCTGATTCTCCCCCGGGGGCCCTGATTCTCAGCGGCGGCTGCAGGCCAGCCACGTGCGCAGCCGGCTGCGGGCTCCTCCTGATGGGGATGAAATGGGGCGGGACGTTGGGGGTGTCTGGAGCCCTTTGGGGAAAGAAGGCTAAGCAAGAAGGGCCCCCTGCCCCCTTTATGGGCAGGGAAACTGAGGCTCGGCAGAGAAGGGAGGGAGCACGTGAGGTCCTGGGGGAGACGGTTCCCTGCAACGAGAGCCCAAGCTCCAAGCTCCAGGGTGCTGCCCTGGACGTGCCCTCCCAGTGGCCTTTCAGCTGGGGGTGTCTGGAGCCCTTTGGGGAAAGAAGGCTAAGCAAGAAGGGCCCCCTGCCCCCTTTATGGGCAGGGAAACTGAGGCTCGGCAGAGAAGGGAGGGAGCACGTGAGGTCCTGGGGGAGACGGTTCCCTGCAACGAGAGCCCAAGCTCCAAGCTCCAGGGTGCTGCCCTGGACGTGCCCTCCCAGTGGCCTTTCAGCTCCCAGATGCTGCCCCATCCGGACTGCCCCACCCTCTGCCCCGCCTGCCCTCTGGGCACCAGCTCGCAGGAGGGACGCGGGTCACTTTGGAGATGACCGTGCATTCTTCGTAAACTCAGGCGCTGTGCTATTTCTGTCTTTCCCTGAGGCTGTGGCTCCATTCCTCCCACTCGCACCTGTCCAGGTGGCACTCAGAGCTGGACACGTCCAAGCTTGCCACTGCCCAGCCTAACGACTGTCCTCTGCGTGGACATTCTGCAGACAGGGAGCTCACGACCACGGAAGGCCACCCACTCCACTCTGGGCTCTGGCCAGGAGGAAGTTCTTCCTTTAGCTGGGCTCGGGTCCCGGTGCCTCCGTAGGGGTCCCAGGGTGGCCCTCTGCTCACGCTGTCCCTATCAGCCCCTCAGGTTTGCTTCCTTCATCATGACGGACCCTCATAGTTGGACCTAGCAGTCCTGCCCACGCCATGGGCTTCCCGTTACGCCCCTATCCACAAAGAAGCCAGAACAGAAAGCAGTGGCTCCCGGCAGGCTGGTGTTCGTTTCTCCCCGATGGACTGTTAGTACCGCTGGCCGGGCAGCGTGGGTGCTCGGGTTCCGTCTTACTGCACCGTCAACTCTCAGAGGCCCCGGGCTATGACTGCGCTCGGTGTGCGCGCGGCCCACGGAAGGGCGAGCACGTGCACGGGGAGCAATCTGTTGCAGGCACGTGACGTGGAGGTTTATGCGGTGCTTGCAGTCACATACCGTTAGCAAGAGTGTAGACGGGGCCGGCAGATGGGGTGGTTAAGGGCGCGGGACTCCCCCATGGCCAACTGCAGTGAAAGTCCTGGACCTGGCAACTTGCTCTCTCACTTTCCCTCTCTTTCTCCCACTCTGTCCCTCTCTGGTCAAATTAAAATAAATAAATAAAGTTAAATGAAATAATTCTTAAAAAAAAAAATAAGATTGTAGTCAAGGGAAGCCCCTCTTAGCTGCAAGGGAGGCAGGAAATGCAGTCCTTCCCTTGACAGCCAGGGGCCCAGCCTGAGCCGGAGAAGACTGTGGACAGCTTGCAGGGTACCGCCACACTGCTCCCCCGCCCGGGCTGCGCCTGGGCCCCATGCAGGGTCCACGGCTGCGTGTGCATCTCCCATCCAGCCCTCCCCTGCCCACCAGCAGGCCTCAGCAGGCGGCCATGCTGGCCTTAAGTCCTCACCAAGAACTGACCTGTGGGCCACCGAGGGAGGCCTGAATCCTGGCAGGACAGGGCAGAACCAAGGGTCTGGCCGGGCTCCTCGCCCTGTGGCCTCAGTTCCTCACATGGAGGTGATGCTCCTGTGGCTTCCCGACAGGGCTTCTGTGAGGTCTGCACTTTGGGGGGGGGGTGACACTAACCCTGCCCATGGGAGCTGATGCCATCACCCGGCTGTGGGGCTGGCATGGGCTGGGCTTGCTAGGGGCAGGGTCCCAAGGGGGCTCTGGGCAGGAAGTGGGAGCTGCCCGCATGTGCCACCCCAGTCCTGGCTGTGGGGTCAGAATGCCAGGTGCAGGTGGGGGAGAAAGGAGGGCACCGAGAGAGGGAAAGTGGGGGTGCTCAGAGAGCTGGGAGACTGGGAGGCCTTGCATTTTCTTTGGGCATGAGCAGAGGGCCACGTCTGCTGTATGCTGTTTCTGGCTGTGCAGGGCCCTTCTCGTGGTCCACTCCCTTCCGCAGGACACTGTTCTAGTAGATTGGGGGAGTCCCCTCCGTACGCGGCCTTCTCAGACGTGCGTGGCTGGGCCTCTGACAGCGGCCCTTCGGTAGGGCTATGTAGGGTCACGTATGACATCGCAAATATACAGGGATCTTTCAGTGTGGGGGACTAGGACGTGGCAGGGGCACTGTGAGGAGACCTTTGGGGGGGGGCTTGAAAATGACAAAGTGAAAAGAGTGGGGTCCTTCATGCAGGCAGCCAGCCTGGGCAGAGGCGGGAGGCAGGGGTGACATGCTGGGGGTCGGGGACGGGGTCTGGAGGGTTTGGGGGAGGGTTGGCTGCTTGGTTCAGGGATCTGGGCTGGACAGCGTGGCGCTGGGGAGCTATGGAAGGTTCTTGTTCAGGAAAGCTCCTGGGTGGAAGGAGTGTTCGGGAAAGACAGCCCCTGACCCCTGGCACCCCTGGTCTTTGTCCTTCCAGCGCTGGCCACCAAGCAGACCTACGTCACCTACACCAACCATGCGATCTAGCGAGGCCCCTGGAGCCGAGCAGGAGCAGGAGAAACCCGATCTGCGCGGACGGTGCATTGGGCCAGGGCCACACCCCAGGGCCCAGCCGATGTCCTGCCTGCCCGTGGGTGCCCACGGACGTGGCTTGGTGCTGGGGACACAGAGCCCCCAGCTGTCACTGCTGGGCAGCTGGGCAAGCCAGGTGGCCGCAGGAGGAGGACAAGGGGCCAGGGAAGCTCCAGGCCACCCCGAGAGCCTGCATCTCAGACTACTGTCCCTCCTGGCCCCAGATCACGGGCTCGGCGGGGGGGGGCCCCCGTGCTGGTTTTCTTTCTCCCTCTGTCTCTGTCTGTCCAACCAGTGCCCTCTGTGTTCCATCTCTGTCCTCTCGCCTCCTGGCATCACCTCCTTTTATCTCTGCGTCCTCTGCTTTTTCTGTACCTTCTTTCTTCCCTGCTCCTGCCTCTGCCGCCCCCTCATCCGCCCTCCCCGGGCCTCCTGCGTTTCTCCTGGTTCCCACCAGCGTCGCTCTTCTGTGTTTGCCTTCCCCGTCGTCCCCACCTGCATTTCCATCCGGCCTTTGCTCCCCTCTCTCCCTGCCGCCCCTTCCCAACCCACCAAATCTTACATGTCGCAAAAGAGAAAAACAGAAAAAAAAAATCAAAACACAAAAAAGCCAAAACAAAAACAAATCTCGAGTGTGTTGCAAAGTGCTGCGTCCTCCCGTGGCCTCTGTGTGTCCCCGCGGCCCGCGGCGGGCCCGCCTGCTCTCGC